GCGCGCGCGCGCACGCGGCTGCAGCGCGCCGCTGATAGGTGTAATGCATGGGGTGCGATGTCGGACTCCCAAACCCAAAAGTTAAACCCCAATGTGGAACTTCATTCTCTGATCGGAAGGTAGAATCATTGCAATGTGGCTATAACGATGCGAAACGCACAATGCGAAGCCACCAGCGCGCGCGCCAACGCGCGCGCATCTGCGTTCTGCATCGTCCACAATAGAAGAGCCAACGCGCCCGTCTGCCTCCATGAAGGGCAAGAGACATCTTGAATTCAGGCTTGGGAATTACATGTCGGCTTTCCTATTGATTGTGGACAACGCAAAACTCCTCAACGCGCGCGCAAGCCTACGCGCGCGCGTGCACGCGGCGGCTGCGCGCCGCTGGTAGGTTTAATGCATGGGAGCGATGTTGAACCCCCCAAACCCAATGGTGAAATCCCAATGTGAAAATGCATTCTCTGATCGGAAGACGACCATCCCAGTGCAATGTGGGCATGCCATACGAATTACACGATGCGAAGCGCCAGCGCGCGCGCACGCGCGCCAACGCGCGCGCATCGGCGTTCTCTAATGTACATGACAGAAAAGTTGACGCGCCCGTCGGCCTCCTTAAAGTGCCACAGAAACTTTGAGTTCATTCTTGTGAATTACATGTCCGCCTGTCTATTGTGGGCAGTACAGAACTCCTCAACGCGCGCCGACGCGCGCGCGGCGGCTGCGCGCCGTTGGCACGTTTAATGCATGGGGGCGATGTTGAGCCACCACATAAAACCAACACTAAAAAAGCCCAATGTAAACATGCATTCTCTGATCGGAAGACGGGGCCATCCCAATGTGGACATGCGATACGAAATGCGCAATGCGGAGCGCCATCGCGCGCGCGTGCGCGCGCATACGCGCGCGCATCGGCGTTCTGCATCACCCACGACAATAGAAAAGCCGACGCGTCCGTCGGCCTCCTATAAGAGACACAGAAATTTGAAATTCAGTTTTGGGAATTTCATGTCGGCTTTCGTATTGTGGACCACACAGAACTCCTCAACGCGCGCGCGTGTACTCGCGCGCGCACACGTCGGCTGCGCGCCACTGATGGTTTAATGCATGGGAGCGGTGTTAAACGCCCAGACAAATTGTGAAAAACCAACGTAAAAATTCATTGTCTGGTCGGAAGACGAGATCATCACAATCTGGGTATGCGATACGAGATGCACAAGGCGAAGCGCCAGCGCGCGCGCATCGGAGCTCTGTATTGCCCACAATATAAAGCCGACGCGCCCGTCGGCCTCCTTGTAGAGCAAGAGAAAAATTAAATTTAGTTTTTCACAATTTCATGTCAGCTTTTCTATTGTGGACAATGCAGACCTCCTCAACGCGCGCGCGCGTACGCGCGCGCGATCGCGGCGGCTGCGCGCCGCTAATGGTTTACTCCATAATGGGAGCGATGTTAAACCCCCAAGCCCAATGGCGAACACCCAATGTAAACATCATTATCTGATCGGAAGATGGTATCATCCCAATGTGGGTATACGATGCGAAATACAGGGTTGGTTCAATGCACGGGAGCGATAGGTTTAACACATGGGAGCGATGCTGATATGTTACAATGCTTAATGCATGGAGGCGATGTTGCACCCCAAACGGCGAAAACCAAATGTAAACACAAACCCCTGGCCGGAAGACGGTATCATCCCAATGTGGGCATACGATGCGTCATGCATGAAAGGTTTTTCCGCACGGGGGCGAAAGGCTTAATTCATCCCAACGCACGCAACTGGTAGGTTCAACGCATGTGAGCGACGTTGAACTCTTACACCCAAAATTGAAAACCCAATGTTAAAGATCATTCAGAATGATCTTTAACATTGGGTTTTCAATTTTGGGCATGCGGTGCGAAATGCACAGTGCGACCTCGGTTTTGTCGCAGACCTCGGTTGCAGCACCGCTCGCAGTTTCCGCTCCAGAGGCAAGCCGCTGCTTGATTGCGCGCGGGGGAGACTCTGGGCCTTCGCCGAAGCCATTTTGGCCCGAGCCGATGTCCAGCCACGAGCAGTGGCTCCTGGACTTGGCTAGCAAATACGATCATGATTGCATACTCGAACTGTGCCGTTTCAAAGCCAAGCGGCTTAAGTCCAGTACTAATGCTGCAGTACTAGAGCTGCAGGGGATGCTCCGACAGTACGAGGAGGTCGACGAGGAGATCAGCCACCTCGAAAAACGTAGCCGCCGCTGCCGCGACGCCGACAAGGAGCTCGACAGGAGGCTCGAGCGGATGCGCTACTACGTGCTCTCCAACGACGTGAACAAGGAGCTGCGCAAGCAGCAGGGCCCCATCAGGGGGCGCAAGGGTGACATTCCGATAGCAGCGGCAACGTTGGCGTCGGTAGGACCCCATAGCTTTCTAGAGGACAGGCGTCATCGGCGCAATGGGGTCCTAGTCGGCGCTCGCGGTGCCTTGCCCATCGGCATCTCGCTCCTGCGCGCCTTCAGAGCATCGCAGTCGACGAGGTGGCTCCCAGGATGACTTTTCGAGAGGAACGTTTGTTCGTGGGGCGTGTTGCCGCGAAGTTGCCACGTGAACTCCGTCCCCGCATAGTGCGGTGCCTTGTCGCCGAGGCGAGGGGTTCTGGCACAGCCGCGCCAGTTACGATTTCTATCGATGATGCTGGCGGCCCTGGCGCTGCTGCTGCTGCAACTTTGGACTCGGTGCGCCTCGTGGAGGCGGCTACCCGCGAGGCTCCCTAGATGCGGCGACGGGCGTCGCGGCTTGAAGAACACCGACGGTGTTCTTGGAATGTGTTGAGTTTCCTTGAAGGCGACTCAGCGCATCGCGCTGCCATGCCGCGCCGCGCGCCACCGCATCCTGGCAGCCCCGCCCACCTGGCAGCTCGGAGAGCGGTGGGTGGCAGACCTGCCCAAGCTGCGCTGTCGAGCGATTGGCACCGCCGCGGAGAACGGCGTAGCAGAGCTTCGCATCGTGAAGGACACGCGGCCCAAGGACGCAATGATCCCCAGGGGTGGCATGATCAAGTTACCGAACGAGATGTCCAATGTTACGCCTGGCAAGATGGTGGAGCTCTGGCTCGAGATCGTCACCATCTGCGACCCGTACGATCAGATGTACTGGCAAGCTCGTTTAGCGCCCGAGCCAGAGCCAGCTGCCATGTAAATAGCATGGCGTGTGCAAGGCTAATGCCTAGAACTGTTCAGATAAATAACCCTGGGTAGATGTTAAAAGTATCCTACCACCGCAAGGCAGGTGGGGCGAAGCAAAAGGAACTCCCCATGTGCCACGAACCGTGTGAGGGGCGCGCTCAAATGGGGCGGGGCCACCATGCGAACCCTGCCGCTCGACTCAGGTAGAACCCCACATGATGCCACGAACCGTGTGAGGGGTGCGCCCAGATGCGGTGCAACCATGCGAACCCTGCCACTGGGGCATTCGGTGGAGCCCCCCATGGGGCCGCAAACCGTGTGAGGGGTGCGCCCAAATGCGGGGCCGCCATACGGGCCTTGCCACTGGTGCCTTCTGCGGAGCTCCCCACGGTGCCACGAACCGCGTGAGAGGTGCGATCAAGGGCAGCGGCGCGGGGCAGGCGGAGGAGGAGGGGGAGGAGGAGCAGGAATAGGAGGAGGAGGGGGTGAGGAGGAGCAGGAGCCAGAGCCTAGGCAGGATGTCAGCCACCTGGTGTCCATGGGGATAGGGGAACCAGGACTAGGATTCGGGGGAGAAGGAGGGGAGTGGGATGCAGGACCGAGCGGAGGCCAGACGACACCATCACATGTGTAAAACGAGGAGGAGCGAGGAGAAGAGGAGGAAGCGGAGGAGGGAGATGACGAGATGGAAGGAGATGAGGGGAGGAGGAGGAGGAGGAGGAGGAGGAGGAGGAGGAGAACGAGGAGGAGGAGTTGCACCCTGCCTCCCAGGGTGCCATCCTTCCCCCTGGCCCCTCGGCACACCGCCGACTCTCACGAACCGGCGCGCCTGGCCGAACTTCCAGGAGATGGGGGGGGGGGGGGGGGGCAGAACCGTCGCCAACACCACCAAGGAGGCCTCCTCCAGGCAGGGGGGAGGAGGATGGGGATGATAGAGGAGGAAGATGAGGAGTACGATGAGCAGGGGGAGGAGGAGGACGAGGCCGAGGACGAGGAGGATGAGGAGGGGGAGAAGGAGGAGGAGCAGGAGGAGGAGGAGGAGGAGGAGGAGCCAGGAGGGAGGCCGAGGATCGAGGATCAAGGATCGAGGATCGCTGTTGGAGGGAAGGGGCTCGGCGTAGGACAGTGGTTAAGCGCCAAATCCGCGTGGAGTGAAGGCCTCGGACATATCTCAACGTAAACCTAAAACAACAAGTAGTGCCCAACCATCCTGTGGCGTTGAGCCCTCGTCTCGAAGAGACGGTGCACCGCGTTCCTCCCTTCTCCTGTCTCCTTTTTCCCATCCTCCCTCCTCAACCTCCTCCTCCTCCTCCTCATCTGCCTCTGCCACTGCTCCCCGCGCCGTTCGCGTTGGAGCTCTCTGAGCACCGCGATGCGGCAAGAGACCGCATCAGGGCAGCAGCCGCGTGGGCCGCAGGAAAACACATGACTGAGGAGGAGGATGAGGATGAGGAGGATAAGGCGGAGGAGGGGGAGAGAGGATGAGGAGGAGGAGGAGGAGGAGGAGGCAGGTAGAAAGGCATGAACGACGAGGAGGAGGGGGAGGAAAGGAAAGGAAAGCAAGAGAAGGTAGCAGGAGGTGACAGAAGGAGGGGGAGGGGGTGAGGAGGAGGGCCCTGCCTCGGTCATCCTGCCTCCCTCCCCCCCTCCTCCCTCCTCCTCTTCCTCCCCCCCCCTCCTCCTCCCCTTCCTCCTCCCTCCTCCTCCGTTTCATCGTCCGTGCCCCCCCCCCCCATCCTCCTGCTTTGCCCCAATCCTCTCCTCTCTCCTCCCCCTCCCTCCTCCTTTCTCCTTCTCACCTTCCTCCTCAACGCCGTCTGAACGCTTCTATGGATGTCCGTTTGTCAACCTTGATCCTGCATGACCAACAGCTCGGGGACCACGTCTAAGAACTCGGGGCGGTGCAACTTCACGTTATTGTATGTGTTCTGGTCGGACAACGAAGAGAAGGCCTTCGCGATCACAGTGTTGATCCTGCGCTTGGTCAAGCCGACGTGGAAGTCAAGCGCGCCCTTGATGGTCTTACACTTCGACTTGTTCATATCGAAGAACTCGGAGAAGTGAAAGATGCCTGCGTCGATGATCTCCGCGACCTGGTTGCCGAAGTGGTTCCTCAAGACATGCGCGACGAAGTGCAGCGTGTTCTGGCACTTGTTCCGAACTTTCTTCAGCTGCTCGTTGGACTCCTTCACCGACCTCGCTGGCGCATCCGATCCACCAACGTACTGGCCAACGACGGCAGCAGGAACACCTGCAGCAGCAGCACCCTGTCCTGGAGCACCTGGATCGACAGGTGGATCACCTCCACCACCAGGCGCCTGAGACTCCTCAGCCGCACCAGCCGCAGGCGCTGCACCACCAGCCGCGGGTGCAGCTCCAGACCCAGCTCCATCGCCATCTCCTTCGGCTGGACCCTCGCCCTCATCGCCAGAATCGACCTCGAGAATCTTCATCGCCGACGGCGTGATCGGAACTCCGTCGAGGGACTTCCACCAACCATGTAGCATGCCAATGTACACCAACACCAACAATACTTCCATCTTTTTGCCCCTCCACTCACGGTTAGCGCTGATCCAACTAGCCCACCTGCCAATTTTTACTCTGGAGCCTTTGATCGACCAAGCAATGCTATTTTTGACCATGTTCCACACATACTCCTTGTGGTTCTCGGTGCCGATGCCGAAGTCGTCCAGCATGCCCTTCTCTGCGCAGATGTCCTGCGGCTGCTTATGCTCACTCAAATCTGTTCACCCTCATCTTCAGTCCGTCCCCCTCACCCCTCCTTCTCCTCCGTCCTTATCATCCCTCCCCTCCTCCTCCTCCTCCTCCCCCTCCTCCTCCTTCCTCCTCCTCCTCCCCTCTCCTCCTCCTTTTCCTCCTGCTCCTCCCCCCTCCCCCTCCTCCTCCTGGCGGTCCTCGTGCATCATCAAGAACAATGGGCAGGATGGAGTCCGAGTGCTGAAGTACTCATGGGCGGCCTCCGAGATTTCAGTGAAGAACTTGTGGTGGCCGAAGGGGGCAGTCATCATGTTGAACACAACCGTGCGCTCGCTGATGACCGACCACAAGTCGTTCTCGATCAGCGCGCCCTTCATGTCGTTCCAGAAGCGATGCCACTTGTCCTCAATAGATGCACCGCGCACTCCGAGAAAACAATCCATCCAGTGAGTCATCGGCAAGCCGATCGAGCCCTCGTCGAAAGACTTGTGGAGACTCGGCGAGTGGAGCGAGCTACAACCTTCGGCCCAGTTCAGCTGACGTGGCAACTCCACCCGCGTCGGCCCATTGTCCTTGTTCGTGATGCAACTCCTGAACCTACTCGTGCCTGGAACCCGCCTGTCCTCTGGAAGTTCAATGATGTATCGAATCTCGTTCGCCGCTAACGGAGCCATCTTCACCTTCGGAATGAAATACTCTAATGACAATCCTGCACTTTTGAGGCCGTGGTCAATAGCGAGTGCCATTTCTCTGTTTGGAATCATCTCAGGAAGTTTACGCTTTTTCAGCTCCTTAGCGGTCATCCGATCTTTTCTATCGAGAAATCTGTCAACAGTTTCGCCCACGTACTTGATGATGTCGCTCCTGCCAGACACCGCGCCTGCAACCCTCAAGCCGCTCTTAAGCCAGTCGGGGAGAACCTGAGGCACGCCGAACAAAAATAACTCAATCCTCAACCTCCTTCTCCTCATCCTCATCCCTCCCCTTTCCCGTCTCATCACTTTCTCCTTCCTTCGCAATCCCCCCCCCCCCCCCACGGTCTTCAGGAGATCACCAGGGGGGCCACAGGCACAGGAGACCCTCAGGACGCTCTCAGAAGCTTTATTTCCAAGATCCCAGGCGCCGCCCCCAGGTACATGTACCTCGTAGGGGCCCAAGAATCCAAGCCCCCGCAGGCCGCGCGGTACATGTGTACCCCCCGAGGACTCTGGAGGCACGCCTGCCTGTAGCAAACGCAAACGAAAGTACATAATGTACCTCGAAATCTGCGACGAAATCGCTCGAGACATTCGCCGGTACATCGATGTACCTGTGCCCTCGGGCGATGTGCTTACACCCCGCGGGGCCGGCACATATGTACCTGGCGGGGCCCCACGACGGGGCCCCGGTACATATGTACCTCTGGGAGACGAACCAGGTACATGTACCTCAGAGAGACGAATCCGGTACATGTACCTCAATCAGGGACAAACTCAGGACTCAGGGACAGAAAAGAGTAGGACGACGAGACAAAGGGCAGGGAAGAGGAACATGAAGAGGAACAACAATAGGAGAAGGATAGGGAGGAGCAGGAGGAGGAAAAGCAGGATGAGGAGTAGCGGGGGGATCAGGATCAGGAGGAGGAGCAGGAGGAGGAGCAGTGCAGGAGGACTATCGTAAGAGGATAAACGCAATCATCCACAACCAATTCCACAAGAGATGAATGCAAGAAAGGTTTACAACAAACCGAAATATGTTGAAACTAGCATGCGATGATAGCCATAAGCTTGCAACATGCTATCTAACATGAATATATTAAGGTCTGGAGATCGTCTAGACGAGTCGATAGTGAGAAGGTGCGCAAACAATTCAAGAACAATGAGTTCAAACATTCAAATCCACTCAGATGGTTCACACTAAGATCCACTCATACTCAGACCCACTTGACGTGCATTCATACTAAGACTTGCTCTATCTCTCTCTCTCCCAGGTTCAGTCATGCCCAGACTCATACTCAGGCAGCCTATGCCAGTTCCTTTCATAAGAGCGGTGCTGGATGGAGGAGGATGGTGGTTTCAAAATTGGAGGGCGCCTGGGGTGCCAGCCATCCAGCAAGGTGTTTGCGAGAATCAACTGCAGCAATAGTAAGAGTTTCTTCCTTAGGCATTCCAACTCGCGATGCATCGAATGCTATCCCCAAGTCTTGGACCATATCGAAGCTAATCACCAGGGAAGCTTTGTACTCAGCCATGTGTCTTGGGATCCAGTCCGCTACAGTACCATCATTAAGGCCCAGCTGAGATCGAGCATAACCCTGCGGCGTAGCGGCCATCCCCTTGCGCATCGCCGAGTGCATGACAGCACTCTTGAAGTCGTCGTCGGTCCGTCGCCTCTTCTGCTTGCTAGTGTTCATGGTCAGCGAGGCCGCGCCGATGGCCAGGGGGTCGAAGGTCCCGACGTTGTGGGTGTTGTTCTCCACGAGATCAGTCAACGTGTTCACTTCATCCTGGGCAAGAAACCATAAAGTGGAATGTCAAAACGCACCGCCCCCACACGAAAACCCCTGACTCTAACCACGCCCCTTTTGAGTACATTCCGAGGCCCAAGAACTAGACCACATCCTCCAATTATGTTTCTCCATCCTCCTCCTCCTTCTGTCCTCCCCCCCCCATCTTCTCGAAGCTCGGACTCCCCTCTCTCCCGCCCCCTCCTCCTCCTCGTTCCTGCGCCGTCTGTTTCCTCCTCCTTTCACCCTCCTCTGCCACCTCCTCCCTCACGTCCCGTCCAAAAACGCCCCCAGGAGAACGCGGTGAAGCTGGCCCTACAGGATTCCTTGAACTCAAGACTATGCGCAGCCGTTGTTGTTCTGAGATTTTGACTCGAGACCCTCTCAAGGCCCCTGGTTCCCTGGATCACAAAACCAACATACCTAACAACATGGGACCTTAGCGAGGTCAGCGACACCCTGGGACACCAGCGTTTTTTCGTCGGACCAGGGCCTCGATCCAGGACAGTCGCCCTCGCTACCCGATACGAATACACGATGCCAAGAACGAAGACAAAGGACCTGAGGCAGCGGCATGCTAAACGCATGTAATGCGACCTCTGGTGCACACATAGTTTGTATGAAGTACGACCATGCGCACCTGCCATGCAATACACCAGACATGGCACGCATACATAACATTTACTACATGTACGTAACATACATACACACTGCATGGCAACACACGTGCACCACAAACATTACGTGTACATGCACATGGGACACACAAAACTCACATGCAAATGCAAGTACGGAGTAACATTGCTCTCCCCGCCACCGTGCGCAGCACACGCACGCCACGTGGTAACATGTGCACAATGTCGAACAGACAACACCATGCCACGCGATAACCCTTCAGGGGAACCATACCAGCCAAACAACAAACATTGGGCAATGTAATACTAAACAGGACACAAAACGCACAACACGCAACAACCAAAATACAGTGTTAGGCTATCTCGCGCATACTGAAGTTTTGCCCCCGATGCACTTTTGTTTCAATTGCGGTAAGCATGAAACCCTTGGGCCCGCTCAGCACCCATGCAATGCATATATTACCGAACCACCGAAATGCACATGCACGCGCCCAAGCAAAAACCGCAAACCCAACTGACACCACACGGTACACCGACCATATCACATGGAACACACAACACACGCGGCATTATCGATTACATAGCCACACGACGATGGACGATTGCAGAGAAAAAATGTTTGGAAACGAGACGACCGCGTATATACTTATATAACGTCTGTTGTGTTTGGCAACGACACGCCAACAAAAACGACTGGCAACGGTCCCAGACTGGGTGGGCATTACAACAGCGCCTTGGGCATGCCACGCACGACGGATATCTACAAACTGCAGCAAGCGACGCACATTCCTTGGACGACGGAAAATGCAAACAACGACGAAACTTGCAGTCCACGTTGCTCCACCGCGCGAAGCCACTCCACCACCCCCCCCCCGTGCCACCAACCGAAAACGGCGACCCGCAAATGAAATATCACACGCTCGTTTACAGGGTTCCTTCGTATTCTGAAAAATGTCTCGCTGTCCTGCCCACCCAAACGCACAACCGCGCGACCCCCCCCCGCCCCTCCCGCGTGCCAACCAGCGCGCGCCCGCGCGGTTTCATCATTGCGCGCCGATGCCCTGCAAAGCAATGGCGCGTGCCCAGGCGACCCAATGGCAGCGCAAATAAAAACATTGCCCTGGCGGCGGCCCCAACCATATGCAAATGCAATACCGCGGGGCAAATAAGACGAAACAAAGGGAATTCACTATAATTCCACGAGCCGTGTGAAAACGGTGCGCCAAGATGGAGCGGTGCGGCTATGCGAACCCCGCCGCTGGCCCTTCGGTGGAGCCCCATTATGGGGCCACGGGCCGCGCGATGGGGGCGCGCCCGCATGCGGGGCCGCCGTGTGAACCCTGCCATTGAAGCCTTCGTTGGATCTCACTATGGGGCCACGGACCGTGTGAGATGTGCACCCAAATTCAGGGCCACCATGCGAAAACTGCCACTGAAACACCCGATGGAGGTTCCAATGGAGCCGCGAACCGTGTGAAGGGTGCACCCTAATGCGGGGCCGCCATGCGAACCTTGCCGTCGGGGCCTTCGGTGGGGCTTCCAACGGGGCCGCGAACCGTGTGAGGGGTGCGCCCAAATGGGGCGGGGCAGCCACCCGAACCCTGCCACTCGACCCAGGTAGAACCGAGCATGGCGCCACGAAACGCGTGGGGGTCGCGCCCAAATGCGGGGCAGCCGCGCGAGCCCTACCACTGGCGCCTTCGGTGGGGCCCCCCTGGGAGCCACGAACCGTGCGAGGGGCGCGCTCAAAATGCGGTGCCGCCATGCGAACATTGCCGCTGGAACCGTCGGTGGGGCCCCCTTTGGGGCCGCGAACCGCGTGAGGGGCGTGCCCTAATGCGGTGCAGCCATGCGAACCCTGCCGCTGGAACCTCCGGTGCAGCTCCCTTTTGGGCCGCGAACACCGCGGGAGGGCGCGCCCAAATGCGGGGCCGCCATGCGAGCCCCGCCACAGGGGCCTTCGGTGAAGCTCCCTTTGGAGCCACGAACCGCGTGAAGGGCGCGCCCAACTGCGGTGCCGCCATGCGAACCCTGCCGCTGGAACCTTCGGCGGAACCCCCGATGGCGCAACGAATGGTGCGAGGGAGCGCCTACATGGTTGAGCGGTGCGGGGGGCAGCGGCAGAGGCAGGAGCAGAGGAGGGGGAGAATGTGGGGGAGAAGGGGGTGGGGCGGTTGCTGAGGGGAGGGGGGGGGGGGGGGGGGAGGGGGGGGGAAGGGGGGGGGGGCGGGGTCGGTGAGAGGGGCGCCCCCCCCCCCCCCCCCCGGTGTCCCGCCCTTTAAACGCGGACCCAACACCACAGGACTGCAGGGGACTATTGTTGGCGCCCAAGGTCAGCAGGCCCAAGGTTAAGCTAGGGCCAGGGGTAGAAGGGTGGGGGAGGTGGGGGCAGGGGGGTGCGCGGGGGGGGAACCGCGGAATTGAGGAAATATAAAGGGCTAACTGGGAAACACATACAATGATACGGCAATGCGCAATGATATAGCTAATCGTATACCCATGGCGACGGATGGAGAACTCGCTGCATACATTAGAACAAGAGCTGCAGCGCCGCTGCGCCGCCTTGCAGAATTCAAGCCCAAGCCTCAGATAATCGCATTGTAAATTGCGACCGATGGGGGACTTGACTCGCGCGCGCGCTCCACCGCTGACATTTCGCTGCAGTTGCCGACGCAAGACAAACGGCAAGCCCAAGACAAACTACAACGCGCAGAAGATGCGAATTGGACGCAACCACGGCGCGAACCTTACCACGCACCCCCTTGGATGCGCAAACACACGCGCCACGGAATTACCTGAC